AGAGATTCACATAGTCTTTGATATTTTAACAAATTAAACAGGGGACCCAATGGGGCCAGATCTCTGGGATAATATTTCACTGTTTCACTCCGACTCACCTATGTGTGAGATGTGTCTGGAGTGCAGATTCACACTGAAGGCTATGTAAAGCCATAAATGAGAAGCTGTTTCCCACCCTGCCATTAGCTAAAATACTCTCTCGAGCAGTGATTTCTAAATCCCACCACGTGGAGTACTGCCACTCTGGATGAAGTGTTCATTAGACAGTAAAAACGTAAGACGAACCAGGATAATAAATCAGCCATGTAGAATATCAGCCTAAGATTGCCATTTAATCTGAGATTTTTTATTCTTCCTACACTCCTTGGTGGTAAATCATGCTTTTCATATATATATATATAGAATAATGAGGATGAAAAATGACTGGCATTTGCCTTTAAATGTTCTTATTACAATCAAAAATTACCAATTTTTGAATATTTAGGTGTACTCCCCACACTATTATAGATTATCATTTTTTACTGGTTCATGAAATCTAAAAGTCTTAACATCACTGGTTCATGGAACACATAGTGTTCTAAATAAAATAGTTAGGCACTATAGCAGATGGCAAAACGGTAAAAATTCTCCCTTCATCTCTGAATCCATGTTACCTTGACTTTGCACTATGATTTTGCTACTTCTCCCATAGAGGGACAGAGGCTATTTCCCCTCCCCCATCAATCTACTTGGCCTTGTGACTTGGCAACAATTATAACCAATGCCACGGAAATAATGGTGTGCCAATTCCAAGTCCAAGCCTCAAGGGATTTGATCACATCTACTGTGTCTCTTGGGACCTGCAACCACCATATGAACAATCCCAGGCTAGTCTGTAGGAAAAGGGAAACTGTGTGCCCAGATACCCCCAGCACCCCAACAACCAACAGCCAGTTAACCCCTGAAAGCAGAATTATCCAGCATACGTATGAGTGAGCCCAGCCCAGATCACCAACCCACAGGGTCTCTGGCCAGATTAATGGATATTGCTTTAAGCTTTAAGTTTTGGGGTGGTTGGTTACATAGGAAGACCTAACTAATAGAGTCACAGTTACAGGCATTGGATAGGATTTGGAACAGATACTGGCAAAGCTTGCCACGTAACACTCTGAAGCCAGTCTTGGAATAATTCCTTAATGTATTCTTTTATCTAAAAGGAAGCTTTGAAATATCTTTTCTGATTTTATTTTAACATTGAAGAGATTAAGTATATAGCTGTTGTGAGAACATGCAAGCTCACATGTCTAATTATTAGAAGAAATAAGTTGAGAAACCTAGAACAGTAGAATTATTTCTCTGGGTGCCCTGAGTGCACCCCAACTGCCTCTGTTTACCCATCTCATAGTGATTAAGTGGTGCTTTTATGACACTACAAGTGGCACCATCAATAACCCCTAAATGAGACTCTAGAAGATGTTTTTTGATACCTGATTAAAGGAACAGAAACCCTACTCCTCACCAGCCAAGCGGCCCTCATTTTAAGTTAGAAGTATTTTCAACACTTGTCAATCTACTGGAGTAGGTAGGAGTCGGGGACCCAAACCCAGTAGATATGGGTCCTAGTCCTGTCTGTGCTGGTTACTGACCCCCGGGCAAGTCCCCTTCCCATTCTGCTTTTCAGATTCCTCATCCATGAGGTAAAGGGGCTGGACCCAGTGAACTTTACCCTCCTCACCATTCCAACAGCATCTCAAGTCCTTCCTCGGGTCACTCACAGGATTGGAAACAAGGCCCAAAAGATAAATGCATTAAAACTCTCTGGAGACTGAAAACCTGGTATCTACTTTAGTAGAGTCTAGCTTGCTGCTTTTCCAAAATCCAAACGAAAGAAAATTTGGTTTACAGGTGTTACTGTTATGGGTAAGTGCAGGTTATTCCCACAGAAATGACTTTTGCATCTTTTTTTTTCCTAAGGTTGCTTTTGTTGCACATTAAGATTGTGCTTTTCTGTGGTGATTAAATGTATTCTGTGACTTGAGTTAAAGTGTATTCAAGGATCCACATGAAAATAAAACCAGGCACACTGCAACCTCTATTGTGATATTTATCACTGACGGCGCTCACATGACTGCAGAGTGCCATAAAACTCTGGAGGGGTTACCTTCACTTAATGGCGCCCTTCCCTTTCACTCACCAGCCACTTCTTATTGCAAACAGCTGCTTGGAAACGAAAAAACATTTTCTATTTCCAAGGGACATTGTTGGCTCTCAAAGTACTTTGCTCATTTTATTTAACAAATGTTTAAGTTTAATCAAATTTCTAATTCCAAAAATGAGCCAATCTTGCATTTTGAATCACTGGCTTGTGAGAGTTGTGTATTTAAAATAGTATAAAAGGAATCAAATTCAAGAGTCAAAAAAAAAAAAAGTGAAGTATGTGGGTATGTGGCGCCTATGGCTTCAGCTTACTCCTATGATGTTTCTGCCACCCCTTGGACCAGCTGACTTCTGCCCGTGCAGTGATTCTAAGGGGATCGAACGTCTCAGCTTATAATGAAGGCTTCCTTGAGTTCTGATAGAAAACTTATTCCCAATAACCTAGTGAAACTGCATCAGCACCAAAGTAAGGGAGGAAAACAAGCGTCATATAAACTTTATTAGCACTCTTTACTGTGAAATAAACTAGGCTTACACTTCTTTTGGAGGGGAAAATGATGAACACAAAAAACATACCGTATTTTACTTACTAACGTGCACTTGTAAAATGCATGGCATGCTGTTTTACAGGCAGTAGCATATAAAATACTTTTTCCAGATGTGGATTCATAATTCTCGAAAGACTATAATAGTTATCATAAGATTTATGGAGGATAATTTATTAATCACATTTTTTTCTTTTAGAGATCTGTTTAGTAAGATGAAAGAGAACTTTAAAATGTCATTTTAACCAAATGTAGACGGCATAATATCAAGTTACTCCTTTTGTTCAAATTATTTTTAATGACTTTATTTGTTTTATTGCCTCCACAAGTCAGTACCAACTTGGTGGTAATGATCTATTTAGGAAATCTCAAGATTTTTAAAGTAAAATAGCAGGGAGCTATTTTAAAAACTAAATGAACTGAACTATGTCAGTTGATTAGTGTTCATTTACTTGAGAGACACAGAAGCTCCTAAAGCTTACTTTTTTTAATAAGATTTGGAAGAGACAAATCTTGTGAAAACTGCAGCTCCCTGAACATTGATGCTGCTTCCTCAACAGAAACTTAGAAGCCCACCTGTGTCTGAAGTGCTATAAGTAACACGTTGTTAAATAAAACACACATTTCAAACATGGATCCCTTTAATCTGGCTTAGATTATTAAAAACACAGCTGTGCTAAGTCCATATTGTGGACCCAAGTCACATGATGAGTTAAAAAAGCCCAAATGACCTTTTTTGTCATCACTTAATTTAAAGTAAGTTTTATCTATAGCCCAACACTAACAAAGTTAAAAAAAAAAAAGATAACTCTACGATTCTGGAGGAACTCATCACCCCGAAGGTTACTGTCCTCTCACAGCCATCCCCTCTTCTCTAACCTGCGGCTTCCCTGGCAGAGTTCACACTAGGCAGTGGGTATAGATTGCTACTAACGGTCAGCCTACAGATTCAGCATACTTCTTCCCTCCAGGCTCTGATGACAGCCATCAAGAGTTCGCTCATCTCTAACACAGTAACATTTACTTTGCCAGGTTATCACAAGGGTTAAAATAAAATGAGGCATCCAACTCATCTACAGCCTGGCACATAGCCAGCACTCAGTAAACAGAAGCAATTATAGTCATGTGTGCAAGTGTGGGAGAAGTTTTTTTTATAGTTTTGAAAGGGCAATACAGTCAAGTAGTATTTACTGATAGGTTTGAAAATAAAAGTATGAAAAACAGGAATATACTGAATAACTACCACATATAATCCTCTATTCTAGGTTTTGTAAGATGCAACAGCGTATATAAGAGGGGAGCTATGATGCAAAGTGTCCATAATCAATGAGAGCACTCTGAAACACATGCTGAAAATCTCAGCAGCATTTTAGATCGATGGCCACGTGAAAGCACCGTACCACCAGAGCGGGGCCTGGGGTGTCAGTGGCAGCTTCCACATGAGAGGTGTGGGCAGTGACTCCTGAGAGTCAAGAACAGCGGAGAACAGCTGAGCAGGCTGTGAAGACTTCATGCAAGTTGGGCGTGAGCATGAGAAAGTGGGGAGCCCAGGAGAAGGAAACTCAGCAGCATCTGACATTTAAGTCAACCAGGTTAGCAAAGCTGCTGAACAGCTTGAGGAGTGAGGCCGCGCAGCAAGAGGAAGGGACCTGAGGAACTGAGAACCCGGCTTGGTTTCTGTGTAGAGACACAAGGCCTCTCTGAAACTCTCTGAAAGTCTGAGTGAACGCTGGGATTAATACCACTAATAGTCCCCACAGGAGAAAATGTCCTACCTGTGATGAAGATTAGCGTCTGCCGTGGCCCTGGCTGTGGCTGTTTTCCGTGAGAAAGGAAGCCATCCCTGGGGAAGACGGTGCAAAGACGTCGTCAAGAACACAGCCCCCCAGCCCCACACCTCATCTATCCTTCACAGCAACAGTCTGCGCTCCTGTGATTCTCTCTGGATCCGTCCACCTGCCGCCCCAAGACTGTGAGCTTCTGGAGGATAGCAATTATTTTCTCTGTTTCCCTAAGGTCATGGATGGAGTCAGCAGTCCAGGAATGTGCTGAATGGCCCGTTTTTGGCTGAAAGGCCAGTGTTACTGACAACTGTCAAAGTGAGGTGTTTACAAGATTCTCATCTGAGTCAAAAGTGCCCTATGAAAAGAGGAAAAGGAGGAGGATGGAGAGCCCTAAAGTCCACTCAGGATGATGAATTAGAGCTTCTCCCACACCTCCTTAGTTAGCATGAGTGGAAACTGTTCTTTTCCAAAAGACTTTCTTTAATATCATAAAACATTTTCATGGACACGTGAACATGCATCAGTGTGTCTTTTGACAAGATTATCCCCTGCACCTACCCACCCTCCCACATCGGTGGACATAAGACTGGAGAAATGAATGCAGCAGATGGAACAGATAGAAAAAAATGATTAAAAGCATGGAATGTAATATTGTGCTTGGTTATTTTCCTGTGTCACAACAAAACAAAACATTTTGATGCAAATAGTTAATGCTTCCTCTTTTCCATTTAAGTCTGGTAGAGGGAAAAAAAAAACTTTTTCTGTAATAAAATATGTGGTTTTCTGGTCTCTCTGGGGATATTTTTAACCAGTAGCCAACTAGTAACCTACTTAATATCAAACCAGGTTCCATCTGGATCCTTTCTCTTCCAGAAGAGGAATCAGATAGGACCAGGTCATGAGCAAGAAGCAAAGAGTCTTGAGCCCCCCCACGCAGGAGCCCCAACCCCTGAGAGTGTGTGGAGACCTGATCTCTGCCTGGATTACAGCCCAAAACCAGGAGACAAAGCATTAGCTCTGGACCAGGGGGAAATATGCTCACCTACGGGCTCAGCTCTCACCGATCTGGAAAGCAAATGAGTGCTCTGTCTGCATGAGATAACACACCCTGCCTTGCCAGCCTGGAGAAGCTCTTCCAGGGCCACTGTTCTATTCACCTGGCCAGTGTTCTGCTCACCCAGAAGGCACCATCCAAAGTCTGGGAGAGAAGCCCAGGAATGAACTCAACATCTCTTCCAAGTCATAGTGACTCTTACCTTTACAAATGCTTCTTGGCTGAGACCGTGAACACGAACCAGTGATTGACAGGTGTGCACAACAACAGAGAAGCCGTGTGGGTAGCAATAAAGAGATCCTCAAAGGGTAAGTCAAAAATACACCACCTTCATCATCAGTCAGGGCCAAGCTCCATAGCCCAGAATATGCACATTAGAGAATTAGAGAGAGAGCAATGATCCAGTACTTCTTCTCTGAGGAAGTGGCATCCCAGTCTTTCTCAGAGTAAAACAGCCAAGAATGAGAACCATTAGATGCATCTCTTTTGGCTAATTTGGGGCCAAATCAGGGTGGGCCTTGAATGGCCACCAGAGTTTACACTTGATGATGGGTACAGATGGTTATCAACTGAACAGTCAGCATATAGACTCACCTCCCCTTTCCATGCTCCTTCCTATCTTTTTCTTCAGGGAAACAAGAGCTCATGCATATGTAACAATTTGTCTCGGGCGATATTTTTACTGCTTTGAATACAATAACTGAGTTACTGTTCACACCCACCCTACGGGTTAGATACTCTCTTTATCCCCACGGTTACAAGTGAAGCACCAGGGGAAAGTTGACAGATACCCTGGTAGGGAAGTTGGAGTCCCTCACGGTGTTTCATCTTCTAATGGGCAACTGTTTCTCAGGGCCCAGAGTCTATAAAAAAGCTAAGTCTCAACTCATCTCTGTTGAAATCCAGATCATCTGTAAAGTTTGAGGGGAAAAGTGGCACTTAACTCATTAGTCTGCAAATGACACCACTGTATATTCTCTTCACCAACTTAAAGAACAGGAGTCAGGGCAAAGGTGGGAGCTCAGGGCATAAATTTACCATCTGCGACGAAATGTAATCAGATCCGAGGAGTTTCCACTTTGAAGTCTTCCTGAATCTGTGTGGGTGACAGGTCTGAACATATCACCCGCCTTGACAGGCGGCTTTATTTTTCATTTCAAAGAGTGAGAAAGAAAGAAAGGAACCCAAGCGAATGTGCGCACAGCGGAGCTTTGAACGCTGCCCCCTGTGTGCTGATGGAGGCACTTTTCTAAATTCAGGTCACGCGTTGGGAAGAGCGAAAGCAGTGGGCTTTTTTTGGTCCATCCCGGGCTCCGTCCTTCCCAGTCTGAAGCCTTTCTCCAGCTTCAGAGCTTTCTTCTCGGCTCCTACACCAGCTGCAGACTGGACCTGAGCTTCAGCCAGTGCTGCCTGGGCCGGGCATCCACCGGATGAGGGCAGCTGGCAAGGAAGGGCTCGACCAGGGGAGCATCTTGTGGTGGAAGGAATGACAGCACTTCTAAAGGCTGATGCCAGCTACCCTTCAAAAGCGCTCAGCCCGTAGCCTGCTTGGCCCGACGCTGAACTCGTCTGACCGATACCTTTAACCTCTGGAGCAAGAGCCATGAGTGTGGCCAAGAGCCCACTCTGGGTACGTCGTCATTACCATGTGATTTGAATCCAAAAGGATCACCTGCTATTTATTTATGAAAATGGTGCAGAGCAGAGCCCGGGTATTACCCAGTGCAAACTCAGACGAGTGCAAGCGTGTCACAGCCTGCTGGGAGCCTCCTGCAGGATGTCCAGGGAAGAGGAAATCCTTGGAAAGGCCGGCGCTGCCATTCACCACATCTCACAGCGTGAGAGCCCCTCGGCCAGTGGGGAAAGGAACACCCCTCTGGGAGGCAGTGCACTGGGTGGGGGAAGAACTTTCTTCAGGAGGAAGGAAGGGGTGTGGTGTGGGGGAGCAGGTCAGGCACTTGGCCTTGTGGGGAGGAGTAACTCCATGAATCCTGGTGAGGTGACACTCAGGATCTGTCCTCCAGCGCAGCTCCTTCTGGGCCAGTACTAGTATCCTCAGGAGATGGCCTGAGAGCTAGTCACTTCAACAGAGCTCCTGGATAAGACTGAGGGCACAAAAGCAGCATAACTCCTGGGTGTCCTGGGCTGAGTTGTGGAGGGCAGAATTGCCTAATTTACTCAAACTTCTTGTTGACTATTGGTTTAATTCCATCATTTTGATGTTATAAATAACTCTAAAGTGAACATCTTGTATGTACAACTTTGTGTACATCTCTGATTATATCCCCAGGATACATTTTTTAAATATGACGATGGAAATGAAGGATTTGCATCTTCTATTATCAAGATTTTTATTACATAGTCTGATCTTGAAGTGCCTGGAAAATCCACTCAGGATCGCTCAGTGGATGCCTGTGGCTTCCTGGTTATGGGAGGTGACTCTGTTTCCCGTGTCCTGATGCAGCATTTCAGGTTGCCTTGGAGGCCAGTCACTGTCATGAAGTAACTGATGCATGATGTCATCACTCAAGGCAGCCTCTTACCACGTAATTGACCTTCATGGATGCTCTTCACTTAATAGGACTGCAAAGTGTTTCCAAGCATGGATTTAGAGGTCAGGTAAGACTGGGTTTGGATCTCTGCTTCTCTTCTTGTTATTTTGTGACCTCGGGCAAATTACTTAATCTTCTTCAGTTTCCTCTTAGACTTTTTGCTATTGCTTTAACCACCTGCTCACCATAACCATCCCAAACCCTCCCTGGACTTAGTTTATGATGACTGTCTTGTTCTATGATTGAGCTTAAAAATTGGTGAAAAATTGACTATATCAAAATTGGCTGGATGTCAATAAACCAGATGGCAATTAAGAGTCATGAGGAGTTAGAGGAAGTACTTAGGATCAATTAACCCCACTCTTCCGGTGGTTTTGCAGTTAGAGCAGGCAGGGGAGAAAAGGTGAGGATCAGCCTTGTTTGCAAGTTTCCACTGTAAGTCCTTATACTCCAGCTTTTTTCTCACTGCTCCCTCACCAGGATTTTATAGCTCTCTGAAGCAACAGAGGGAGACAGGGAAAGTAAATCACATTTCCCGCAAAACTTTTAGCATGGAAGAATCTGAGGTAGTTGACCTGCTGAAGGTCTTGTGGGAAATTATGGGAGAGTGTGAACTCTCCTGCTGGGCAAGAGGGATGTGGTCCAAGTCCTGTCACTGGCTAGAACTGGCATCTTGTGAACCCTACCCTCCAACCTAGACAGAGATGGGGTTCCAGTGATAAAGGATGGACTTGACTAGAGAGTGACTCTTTGGTATCTCTTCCTTTTTTATGGTCACTACAGGCTTGTGTGTCCTGGGAATTGCCATTAAAAATGAAATCTAGTTAAACCTGGGGTTCGTGAACTTTGTGAACAATCATAAATCCCTTTGAGGAAAAATCCATGCCCTCTCTCCCCAGAAATTAAAATACAAAGAAATTGTTGAAAATACAGAGACGTTTCTTGAAAAACCACCCTATAATCTCAAGATAAAGATGGGATAGAAGGTTAGAACAAGGATGGGATTATCAGGCACAACAGTTGGGCTCTATTTTAAGTTTTAGCACTCTGATTGCTAAGAACAAAGAGAAAGCACATTGGTTTAATAATGGTTATTAGCTAAAATCCAAAGCATTTAAATCCATGTTTAGAGAATATTTCTTTCTAAACTTAAATTCAAGGGGGAAAAATATTACATGGATCTTGATAGCACACAACCCAAAGCTTTCAACTTTGACCCCCTTTTGAGGATCTAGGAAACAGCGATCATCCTTCCGGTGATCTAATTAACTACTTTTCAAGCCTAAGCGAAGATCCGTAGCGCCCATAGCTCCTTCTCCCAGAAGGAGAATCCTGTGGCTCATCATCACTAAGAACCCCTTTCCTAGGACACCGTGGCGAGGACATGCCTCAGGGCCCAGTATCCTCGCACATTCATTCATTCACAGATGTTTCTCCTCGGGACCTCTTTTATGCCAGAAGTTGGATTAGCCATTGGTCAATAGGAACTGACACGTAGCAGGTGAGAGAATGAGCTACGGGCAGAAAGAGGCAATTTGCAGAGGTATAATCATTTTCACCTCTGGATCGCCCCTGCCCAGCAGCAGTTCGAGTGCGGAGGTGAGCCCCTCTATCCTGTGTGCAGCCCTGTCCTTTACACCAGCGAGACGTTCCCTGGGGCCAGAGCCTGTGAGTTGCATCTGTGGTACCTGCAGTTCTGATGATGCCACTGGGTGTTCAGTAAATACCTGCAGAGAGACATGCTCCCATCCTCTCTTGAACCACTGGGTCTTTCCCTAAGCCAGTGGGTGTCTGCCTCATGAGCTCTTCCCTGCATACATTCTGTCTGACCCCTTGCGGGACCTGCAAACTGGCCCTTCCCTTAGTCCCAAACCTGTTCCTCCTAGTGGGGCTAAGACAACACTTCTTTTCCAAGACTGACTCTCGGGGCCTCATGTGGTTTTCCTGCCCCTGTGCACCATCCATGCCCCACATCAAAGGATTTCATACCAGCCCCGCTCATGTCTCAAGCTTCTGACACTAGAAGTAGCAACGTTTGCCTTTCTTTTTCACTCTTAGCTTTGCAATAGATGACAAAAAACATCTTTGGATGAAGCTAGAGCTGGCCTGTGGCAATAAGGAGTCAGGTCATGGGGATGCCAGACTCTTTTAAAATAAATAAATGCTGAAATTACCTATTTAAAATAATATTTAAGGTACATACTGAAATCACTAAAAGAAGAAGATAAAAGCATGATTCCATTAATGTTCTAGTTCCTATTTTAAGGAAAAAGTCCCAATCTTTAGTTTTGGGCACTTACACCACAGCTATAATTCTGGAGAAACTTAGGAAATGAGGGAACAATGTTTAGTGTTATTATTTCTAAAAGCAAGCCTGTAGGAAACATATCCTTGTGATTTAGAGTTATATAATATGATCTCAGCTAAGGAAACTGGAAAAGGAGAAGTATCTCAGGAGACATTCTGGTCTGTAGCATCAACTGGCCTGCTGCCATCCCCACGTAACAGCAGCAACTCACGTCCACGACGTGTTCTCTAAGTGCCTGCCACCCGGTGAGACCGTTACACACATTATCTCATTTAATCCTCAATAACAACCCTGTGAGTCCGCTGTTATTATTCCCTTTGCACAAATAAGGAAACTGAGACTTTAGAGGTGAGTTTAAACATTTGTAAGTGACAGCTGGGATTAAAATCCAAGCGTGTCTGAGTCCATAGCCCAGAATTTTGCTATACTGAACTCCTGAATTATATTTAATCACTGACTCTTATAAAGTGTAGGTCCAGATCCTTTGATTTCTCTAGTGCATTTCCAATATAATGTGTTGCATTTACCACAAAGATTGTTTTGATTCTGGCTATCAGTGTTGTCACTGTGGTAAAGGAAAAAGATCATAAACAATTATTATTACTATTGATAAAACCAACATATGTCATTTATCGTTTATAAGGTACTTCCATAACCATTAATTTTGATGAATTTTTCAACAACTCTATGAGGTGGGCATGTCCCTGTTTTACAGACAGGAGACTGAAGCTCAGAGAGTTTAAATGACTGCTACAAAGTCTGTTAACCTGTCACTGTTAGGCAGACCCCACTAGCGCATCCCTGAGGCTCATGCCTCCTTAATCCCCTGCCCCGGGCGTCTCGCCTGCTTTACCCTGGGCCCTGCCCTGAGACCAAGCCTCAGCCTAAACTCAGTGCTCTTAGTTATGCCTGTTATCAATTTCCATCAGCTTGTAAGATACAGATGTTCCTGAAAAAGATGGATGCACCAAATCAACAATGAGTAAGGAAGCCCAACTACAAGTGCAGTGAGAATTCCAAGACTCTTGGCGAGACGCAGCTTCTTCTTGGGCCGTTAGACTGGGAGCCTCTGGGAGACAGCCGTTATAAATCATTTGTCTCTGCACCTCCAGCCTTGGCCTTCGGCTTAATGCCCAGTGGATACTTAATTCTTTCTGAATGATGAATGAATGAGTGAACCAGTCAATCAACAAATACTTCTGAGTTAAAAGTTCTTCGGTATCTTTCTTCTTAACCTAGTGCTTCCTCTTTTGACTTTTTTGACTTGTTCTTAGGATTTGGAGACGATGGAAGGAAAAGCACGGAGCCTTGCTGAGCCCCAGGCCAAATAGGAGGCAGGGAACGGGGGCCACACGCTGCACCCCTGCTGTGTCTCCCCGCCTCTTTTGCTGACTCAGCTCCTTGATCCCACGATGCCTCCCTCTGTGCTCCTGGAGGCAGCAGGAGAGGAGTCCTCACCATTGTGGGAGGACGACTTTCAGCTGGCCTTCCCTGCTCCAGATTATTTTTTAGGAAAACGGAGCTCTTTTCTTGTGAAGTCCAGGAGCTGCCACCACTTTGGAGAATGTTGAGATGCAATTTTACCTAAAGAAGAGCTTCTTTTATTTATGTTTAGCAAGAAAGAGGAGCGAGACATCCCAGTTTTTAACATGGATTGAAAATGGAGTTCTGCCAGTTTTCTTTGTTTTACTCTGCCCTGCTCTGCCGGCCAGGGGAGGGGAGGAACAAGCAGGCTGTGTTCCTGGAGCGTTTTTCTGAGAACAGGAAAATGTCAGTGATTTAGATAATTGAGTATCGGGATTAAAATTTACCTGTGCCACCACGTTAAATAAAAAAGGTCTTGATTGAATAATATCAGCAAAGCAAACAGGATGATAAGGTAGCATTTCTGTCTGATTTAATGAAATAATTATTTTTATTGATTGTGTATATAAGTAATGGTAATTGTGATCCAATTCAATCTACTTATTAAAACATATCCCACAAGGCCTTCTACTAATCAGGAACCATTTCTTAGTCTACTTTGGTTACATAAATACCTTTCTTGGGTTTTGTTACTGTTGACAACTCAGATTTTAGTCTCTCTCTTGCCAGAGATTGTCCTTGTCCACGAGGTTTCACCAGGGTTTTTACCCGTGAAAATGTCCCATGGGACGGGCTTCTGGAAAGGAGTTTGCCAGGACCAGCCCTGACCTGAGAAAGGTGATAAAACTGTGCAAGGAAATGGAATGTGTCCAGAAAGGTCTTTGGATGGAATTCCAAAAGCAGATGAATCTCTGCTCTGGAGCCACAATCTTCAGTAGCGTTGAGATCTTTCAGCATCCTCCTTTGCACGATAAAATTGTTAAGAGAGGTGAAGAAATTGGCCTGGGAGGCAGTCATTTCATCTGTGCCCAAATACCTTGTAAACAAGGAGAGATTTTAAGTGCGGAGTGACTCTTTGCTTTCAGGGGCTTCCAGGGTAAGGCGGTGCTGAAGGAAGATGTTGACAAAGAGCAGAGGGGGCCGGACGAGGGCCCTGTTCCTTCCTGGCCCGGGGAACACTGCCAACCATGTGTGGGCACCCTGACTCCCCCTACAGAACAAGCCTGGCCTCGGAGCTGAAAGGATCTCCTGTTGTTACCTGGGCAACACCGGTACAACTAGCTCAGATATAAGTATCTGCCTAACGAGACACCCCGGCTCACTGATGAGACCAGCGGAAAGTTAGTGATGCTGGGAAGGCGGGAACACAGGTTTTCTGTCCCTTCAGCTGGTGGGGTGTGTATAGCTCTACACTGCTTCCCGTGGCCTGGCCCTGTGTGTTTGCAGAGGAAACATGAGCACAGAGCATCAAAATTGGTCAGGCATTTTCACACATCACCAGTACAATCTGTACTAGGACACAGCAAATCACTAGCCTCTGAGAGCCTGGGGGACTCTGCTCTCCTCTCCCCGCTCCCACCCCTTACACACACACACACACACACACACACACACACACACACACACACACACACAGAGATTTGTATTGTCTGAGCTCTTCAAAACCTCCGTGGTGGGTGACCACGCCCACCACAGCAATCTCTCCCATCAACCGAATTCCCAAAGAATTAATTATTCTCTCTGCCAAAGATGTCTTGTCGCTCCCAAAAGAATGAGAAGCTCTCAAACACTTCAGTGTCTTTCACAGTGCCTACACTTGATTGGCACTTACTTAGTTAAGATTTTCAGGTTGGTTGAATAATTTCAGTGTCGTAAATAAACACCCAGAAGTGACTCCTCCTTCTGTCTCATCTCCA